ATTGTCATACACTTTACATATGGCATGACTATGTTATGATGGAGTGACATAGCAATAAAATAGATGGAGTCAAGCTGTAAATAGCAATTAAATAGCATAACATAGTAATTTTATATTCTTAACATAGCATTTACATATGTCTGGTTCTACAAGGGTTGAAGTCGCGATGAAACAGTTTCTGCTGTAAACACGAGAAAAGATTACAGTTAAGTCTTTCTCTTACCTTTTGTTCACCAACCTCCATTAGCACCGCAAAGTGAGTCAAATGATTGCATGAGCATTCCACCATTTTGTCATCAGCTTTTGTTAAAGTACAACCTTCTCCAGACCAACCACTTTTAGTTTTCAGTCTACAAGAAAACAAACTCTCAAAATTGGCTCACACCTGAGAGTGATGGAAAGCACTCCAATAACTGGTATGAAAGTGTTATCAATATTTGTATTTATTAAATTAATTTTAACAACATTTTAGAGGTACTGTCAAGGGAACTCATTAAATAAAAGTGGCTATAGCTAAAAGAAGTGGCCAGTAGAGTACAAACACTRAAACTGTGCAACATAAATACCACTAAATACTGCTAAATTATGCTAATTCTATTGTTTTCTATAATATTGTTTAATTAACAATATTTTGTAGTAAATAGTGGAAAGTATTGCACGCATTTAATGTTTGTACTACTATCAAATTCTGTTTATAATAAGATACTTACACTTGAGCATATTTCCAAAATGCACAGACAGGTTTTTTTGGGAAAGTTGCAGCTTCCTGAGTCTTGAAGTGAAGTGTGATGTTTTTTGCAAGACTACTTGTYTTTGGGTTGACAGTTACAGAAATTATGTTCGTTCCAACTTCCCTGGCATTACAGAGACATTACAGAGGTTGTTGAATTGAAAATTGAACATTGCATATGATATTCAAGAACAAATTGTATTTTAAAATAAATCAATATTAATATTTTCTTACTTTTTTGTTAAATTGAATGACATTTCTTTCAGATAGATGTGAAGGTCTTTATAAAGAATACTCGCAACAACACCATCTGTGAATGAAAACAGCTTGAAACACAGCAGAAACGTAGCAATAAAACACAAAATAGGTGAGTTACACTTTCATCAATCACAGTCATGGAGGTGCAAGTCACCATAGATCTTAATCAGCAAATATGTTGCTATAAACATTTCCCAATTCAAACTACCCAGGAGTAAGTGCCATTGTTGAATTCTTAGACACAAAATTTATTTTTCAAACAGCATTTGAATTGGGTGGTAATGCAGGGTTGTCAGTAGAAATCAAAGTAGACGTCAAAATAGGAAAACTACCCATCAAAATAGCAAATAAATTTGTAAGTAGCCAGCGGTTTGCTAAGCTATAACTGGTGATTTTGGCTGGCTGCCGGCTTCTATTTTCTATATGATTTTAATTTTCTTAAAACAAATTTAAATTAGTTTTTATTATTAAAGTAGTACTTGGTAGCACAGATTTGGTCTGTTGTTACAAAACGTCAGTACCTTTTAACAGGAAGATATCCTTTGGTATAACAATTAATGCCCCATATCGACTGGCATTCTTGCTTGGGAATACAAAGTTCTGAGATGTGTTACTTTTCATTAGCTGGGCTTGAAATGCTGTGAGAATTAGATGTGGATTGATGATTACTACACAATATTGGCAAACATGTTCATGTATTAGTCAGACAATCAGACATTATTTCTATCTTTAAGGTTACAGTAAACCAGACATTTTTTTCTATCTTAGACTATCATCTACATATGCAATATTATTCAACCATTGATGGAATACGATGAGGATTGAGATTGAAGAATCTGTAGCAGCTGACAGTGAGTACAACAATAAAATACATAAATAAATTATTTTTTACAATTATTAAGTAAAAGGATCTAATAAATTATTACAATTACCAAAAAAATCTGTCTCTAGACTCAGATTGTGAGATGACGTGGTATACAAAAAATGCTCTGCCAATTTAAAGCCAAACTCCTCCAGGGCAAGAATACAGCACATGACACCACTTCCAGAAATAGGTGTGGATCCATTTCTTATTTTGAAAATAAGATCAGCCAACAGGTCWGTTGCATTCTGGGAAAACATTATAACAATAAATAATAAAAACAATAGTTTCAAAATTAATTTCACTTTGTTTAAAAAAAAATAAAATCATAATCCACCTTTAAAAATATATTTTTTGTTTTTAATACCTGAAGAGATTGCACTTCACGATGGTCAAGTATCT